AGCTGGTCAAAAGGAATTCGCCGTCGTCTTTGGTGGAACCGACCTTCGAATCTCTTAGCCCAACACTTTCGCTCGAAATGGAAATTAGCTCAACAATTATGAAAGAAGAGATTCATCGAAACCAAACTTTTCTTCGCCTCTGTAAGTATGACTTCAGAAGAAGTAAGAGTGGAACCCTAATTTGTGGGATCCCTTTACAAGCCCTCACCAAATTTGTTTCATTATCTACTAAAAATAACAACTACTCTGGTCAACTTACTATCATTTAGCCAACTACATTTTATTCATTATTAAGATTCCTCTATATCGCCCAGTAACAAATTAGTCGTCAATGTATCTAGGCACTGAAACTACTTCTTAAAAATATTAAAACATGTTACAACTGTCATGTGATTATAAGTCACATTATGGGTGAAGTTTCCTTACAGATGCATAGTGATCACTTTATGCTGAGCCAAGGTTTCCTCCTCCAAAGATAGCGATCAAAAAACCAACTAAATCGTCATTCGATGCATAATGAGGTCCATTTATGAAAACTTGACTTGTTCTTAACTCGTTAGCTTGAATTTTGTTGTAAGGATGACACCTTGCTCTGGTGATGTTCGTCAAATGACGGACGAAATCTTAGCACCTTTTCTCCGGAATCGAAGGAGATTGCCTCGGAAACAGCGTCAGCATGAATCTTCGAGTAAAGCCAATCGACAGCTGGTCAAGATGAATCGGCCGTCGTCTTCTGGACGAACCAACCTTCGAATCTCTTCACGCAACACTTTAACTCGAAATGGAAGTAAGCTCAACAATTATGAAACAATAGCTTCCTCGAAATCCAACTTTTCTTTGCTAATGAAATGAATGGAAGTACTGAGTTGGACCCGAAGGCCACAAATCTGGGACAAGAAATCACTATTCAATGTGCTTGTGCTTTGCCATATCCCTCTGAGATGAAGCTACTTGAGCTCAATGATACCAACAAAGTGGGATTGAGGGATGAGCATACAGCGCAAGAAGCTAGAACGATGGGGCTGTGAGATAACCCTTCATCTGGGCAAAATATTTGTCTTACGGATTCCGCTTTTTTTTCTGGTTGACGAGAGTTTACTCTCTCCTACAGATAGCACTTATTAGTTCGAGTAACTAGTCTTTAAGTTTTATACTTCACAGCATAGCAACCATGGCGAAATGAGAAGTAACATTACAAATTTTAAGTGAATTCTGCAGAGCATGTCGATTCCTAATAAGATCTTGACAGGGCTTGTCACAAATGTTTATTTGGGTGCTGGAAATGATCATGAATAGCATGACAACAGTGACGGATCTCTTTACCTTTACCGAGTTTTCTTTCATAATATTGCAAATCCAAGTCAAACTCATTCTTTGCATTGGCAATAAAGTGTAAACAAACCCGCTTGCTTTTCATATTTGCATTATCATATTTCCAAAATTTTTGCTTCAAGACGAGATAAAGCCTTATTGCAGATCCCACACTGGATAAGGATAAATTTGAGGAAATTCTGTTTCATTTTGATCTGGCTGTGGGAAAACTCAACTATCACTTTTTAAACTAATTTAAGTGATCTAGTTTTTAGTCATGTATTACTGAGAGCGTCGAATTGACTTACTTTAAAAATACAACAACCTCTGCTTCT